GCATAGGTAGTGCAGTTTAAAAAGCTGTAAAATATTGTTTGTATTAGGTTCAACCTGTCAAATAAATGAACTAATAAATTTTGTTCTTTCATGTGTTACATTTAAGGCACTGTTAGTTATGAACCACAGACTGCCTCGGTTTTTACGGTAAAAAATACAAATTTCTATGTAAATAACAGTCTAATGCAAAAGAGATAGTGTAAATGTTTCTAAAATCAGGCTCGCATGTGTCCCTATGAGAAAGTAGCTTTTTAAAGATGGCCGTAATTGTTACAGTTTTGGCTGAGTGTAAACTGTTAGCTTTTCTATCCAGGGTTAACTAATCTCACTTTCTCCAAAAGGTTGTTGTTCAGAGAGCCATCTACTTCTGGTTTACCAATTTATATAACCTCCACCCAAAATTCCACTTCAGATTATGCAAATTAAAACCCTTTAGAGATCAAACAACAATATTGTCTAGTATAAAAGTTCATGCTCATTAATCCAGTTAAAGAATCCAGCAAAGTTCGGTTAGGTCATCTGGATTTTTTTTTTTTTATTAGACGTTTCATCCTTCATCCAAAGGACTTCATCATTGATTGGTATACTCATGGGATTGAGTTTGTTGTGGCTCCTTGGACTGATGAAGTCTTTTGGATGAAGGATGAAACGTCTAAAAAAAAAATCATCCAGATGACCTGACTGAACGTTGTTGGATTATTTTACCTGGATTATTGAGCATGAACTTTGATGTTTTGAACCACTTTGGCTATGGCTGCCTCAGAGGAGTTGATGGGGAAGAGGGTGGGCCCCAGCAACCATCTTATCACCAGCAAACTGGTCGGTCCACTATGTAAGTGTGGGAATAATTTTGTTGTAGCTCCTCAAACTGATGAAGTCCTTTGGATGAAGGCCAAAATGTCTCAACAAAACAAAAAGCCATGCAGATGACCTGACTGAATTTTGTTGAATCCAGTCTAGTGTTCTCCTCCAAAGGACTTAATGGTGAATATTATCTTTAAAATTACACTTTTTTTTCGCACATTTTTTAACAAAATCTGTTTTTTGACAAATT